AAAAAAAAAAAAAAAAATCTAAGAATGAAGAAGGTATTCTCCCCCTCCCGATCCACCCTCTACCCCAGCATAGCCACCTGTCTCCAGCACAATGAAGATAAGGTTCAGATTCTTGAGTCCGGGCTTGATATCCTTCACGAAGGTCTCCGTAGTCATGCTGCTCGAGCCTCGGTAACCCACTGGAAGAGGGAACAGGGGATGAAGACTCAACGTTGGGAGCCTTTGCTCCCATGCTCCACCTCCCAAGGCCTACCTACCACACCAAGCTGGGATCGAGCAGCCTCGGCCCCTCTAGCTTTATAGAAGGTTAGAAGCGAACTTCCCTGGGGGCCTCGAACTTCAAGATTAGATTTGGGGGGGTCTCCGGATGAGATGCTTCAGGGCTGAAAGGCCCCCTGTCGGGATGCTCTTTCAGTCTCACGCTCCTAAGTAGGGAGCCGATGGAGACGAGTGGAGAATCCAGTGCAGAGCCAGGGAATAGAATCTTACTCGCCAAACCTTCCCGAACCCTCATCCGAACGACCCAAGGCTCGATCCATTTCCTCCCCCACCCACAGCCCACCACCCACCCAGTCAGCCGGCTGGACCGTGCACGCCGCTGGGCCGCCCGCAGGGGGAGCCACAGGCCCTGTTGGGACCGGATGCTGTCCAGCGGAACGCTTGAATGTGGACGTTCACCGGAAGTTTCCCTCGTGATCTCTTCAGACCAATCAGAATCACCCGGGCGCACACCGCGTCCCGCCACCGGCTTTCTGCTCAGCCAATTGGATTCGGAGATTCACAAGCCGCGAAGGGGCGGATTTCGGGTATTAAAGGAGCAGGGGAAACGGTTGGCACCACATGGAGAGAGATGGACCACCAGGGGGCGCCTTACACACCAACTTTTCTTTACTGGCCTAGGAAAATGAATTTAGGTATTTTTCTCTCCAAGTAATGACACAGTGGGAAAGGACAAATGGCTTTAGAACCCAGAGGACAAGCTGGAATCCCAGATCAGCGCTTCACTTTCTTCCTGACAATTCTTAAAAAAAGGAATTCTATTTTACAGATGAAAAAACAATTTAAATCGGGAGTGGTGGCGCATACCTGTAATCCCAGCACTCCGGAGCCTGAGGCAGGAGGACCGCCAGGAGTTCGAGGCCAGCCTGGGCTACATAGTGCGTTCAAGGCCAGCCTGAACTACATAGCGAGACCCTGTCTCAAGAAACAAACACAAAATATGTTATATAAAAAGCAATGCCTAGGATACAGCATGCGTTTATGAATACGTTTCCTCTTTTCTCACTTGCTCCAAGCTTAATCTTTATTCCTGACTTGGGTCTTCATCTTTAATGCACTACTCAGTTCGGTCAGGGCTTCTGGGACAAGTGGCATTCACACCAGACACAGACAAAAAGCAGACTCAACCCCCTTTGGAAGAATGGCGCCCGGGACAAAAAGGGCACTTATTTGTTCTTATTAATTTGCTCTACTGCCCTTATTTCACTAGATCTCATAATCCCCCCACAGGAAGAAAGACAGATTGGAACATTTAGTTGCCTTGGGGACCATCAGATTGTCAACAAAAGGTAGCTAGCTCTGTGCTATTGTATATAAACGAATTATATAAAAGATATATTAATGTGCATCACAATTTGCTTAGTAAATATCCGTAACAAACACTATTTAATACCAGATTAATCTAGGAGGTCATGTACTTGTAATGCCTTGGTTTGCTTAATTGATCCCTTATCTTCTCACAGAGCACTTTAGGCTCCACCATGACTTCCCTGGGAAACTAGGTTCTCTCCCGCCCACATCCCCAACCTCGATGCTCCATCTAAGGAAATCAGACCAGGGGCGTTTCTCTCCCTTCTCTTCCCTTAGTGTTTCAGGGGACTCTACGACTGTTTGAAAGGGTCACCGTGGATACGGCAGAAGAGTGGCTGGGAGAGAGGCGGCCAATCCGTGAAGCACCTAGCTTTGGAGTGAGACATTCCCCCACTCCCTACCCCGCCGCCTCTTTGTTAACTGCGGTATCCATTCCCGTGACCATGAGTCACAGGGTCGGGAGGCTCTGGAAACTGAAATGGGCAGGGAGGATGACAAGTCACACTGCAAGTTAGCTGCCCCGCGACGATGTCATTCCGCTCCGCACCAGCTCTAGGACACAAGACACGTGCGCCTCCTTCAAAGCGAAGGGTCCCTTTCCAGGGCGGTCAACTCCAGGTTAGCCCCGCTCATTCACGCGGTGAGGAACAGACTATTCCTCCCAAACGGCTATAGAGTCCAGGCTGGGACCACAGTACTTCCGTTGTGAAGCTGAGGCCCGGCTACCCTCAGAGGCTCCTCGTGCGCAGCCCACAGCTTCCAGTCCAGTCCCTTTTAGAAAGGAGGCGGGGTTGGTGACGGGCTTCCGCCCGGTTGCGTAGCAGCAGTGGGCGGGGCAGAGGATCTGTCTGAGACGGCGACTAGTGGTTGGGACATTCTTACCCCTCCTTCCCCTTCCCCTTCCACTCCCGGGAAAGGTTGGGACCCGGCACCGGGGCTGTTCGGTGGCCGCTGCGGCCTCAGCTCCAACCCGACCGGGGCACGGAAGAGTCCAGATCGCGTCCAGGGCGGTGCGTACTGCGCCTGCGCGAGCTTCCACCCAACCGAGGATGTAGGAGGGGAGGGGCGAGGTGGGGGGGCCATTGAGGCGAGGGGCTGAGATACTGGGGTTCGGAGAAGGGGAAGAGTAAAGATGAAAAATGGAGTAAGGGAGCAGCGCTGGGGAGGAGTTGGGAGGTGAGAAGGGCGCCCTGGAGGTTGGGTTGTTGGGGAAGGTCCGCTGGGGTGAGAAGTGCGGGAGGAGGGCCTGTGGCGGCCGAGAGAGAGAGAGAGGAGAGGCGGGGGGCGGGGGGACTTGCTGTTTAAATGGGCAGTGACTGACGGCCTGGGGGAGGAAGGGAACATTCCCGGGAACCTGAACCTCCGCCATCAAAACGCCATAACTTGGCTCCTCTCCCATGCCTTGTCTTTGGCAGCCTTGTCATTCTCTTTCATTCGTTCCCTGATCCACTTCCCCTCCCACCCCTCCGTGAAGGAATCTTGCATTCTTTACATCCTTGGCCTTGGTTTACAGCCCGGCCCGCTCTCACACTTCACATACAGGAAAGCTTGCTCCAGACTGGGACGCAGGGAAATCGGGGATGGGGAGAGGGCGGAGGAGGAGCCTGAAAGGTGAGAGAGGTGAGCGAGTTTTGACTGGGGGATTGGGAGACACCTTTCCCATTAAGAAACTGACTTCATTTCACCTAAAAGCAAACGTGGCTATTCCTGAGGACGCTGCTCTTGGATACTGGTCTGTGATAGTCTTATCCCTTACTGTACAGTGACAATAAGACAAGAAACTGATAATGTTACTGACTGCTAGTCTTTCCCCAAGCAGGAATGGATGGGCTAGTGGTAGGAATGTGATGCAATAGTGTTACTACCCTATGTCTAGTCGGCCTTGTGGCCCGGCCTGGTTTCCAGTAATTGAAAAGAAGGAACAAGCTTTTTCAAACGTTTCCTCTGTTGTCAGGATTTAGAGGGTGAAAGAAATGGGGAGATGTTGTTCAAAGATTACAAACTTTGTTATAAGGTAGATAAATACTGATGATTGAATGTGAAGTGTGGTGATTATGGTTAATATTGTATTGTTTACTTCATTTGCTGAGTATGTCATAAGTGTCTTCCCCATACGCACACATACGTGCAAATAGTAACTGGTGAATGTGTTACTAGTGGTAATCATTTGACGTTTTGGTAATCAAAACATCAACTAGCTTCATATATATATATATGTAGTTATAGTTATATCTTAAAATTAGTAAAGATAAAAAATTTCCTCTGGCCCTCACTTTAAATTTACAGTATTTTGCTATTCTGTTGCTAAAAGTAATACTTCATCTAAGGATAACAGTATTGAGTATGCTTTTACATTATCTCATTTGATTCCCAGGACAATAAGGTAGATAAAGCAGGTGTCATTTTCTCTGCTTCACAGTTGAAACTGAAAACTACACAAGGGTTACATGGCTTGCTTATTTTTTTTTTTAATTTAAACATTTCTATTTATTTATTTGGTACTGGAGATCGAACTCAGGACCTTGAGTTTGCAAGGCAGGCGAGGTGTGTGCCACTGAAGTAAATCCCCAGCCCTAAACATTTTTATTAGTATGAGTTTGTAGTTCATAATGAATATATTCATCATGGAGTATTGGTGTATATATATATATATATCACATATTGATCCTTTTTACTTCTTCCACTTTTTTTTTTTTTATTTTGAGACAGGGTCTTGCTATGCAGTTCAGGCTGGCCTTGAAGTAATCATGTAGCTCAGATTGGCCTCGAACTCACAGCAGTCCTCCTGCCTCAGCCTCCCAAGTGCTGGGATTACAGGCTAGGACTAAGGTGTCCATTTGCCACCACACCTGGAACCCTTCTTGACTTGCCCCATCCTCAGATCCCCTTCCTGTCCCCACAAAGTCTATTACCCTATTTAATTTATTATATTTTATTTTAGATTTTGAAACAGGATCTTGCTAAGTTGCTTAGTTGCCTGGGCTGGGCTCAAACTTGGGATCTTTCTGCTTCAGACTCTAAGAGTGCTGGGATCACAGTTGTGTGCCACCATACTATATGGCTTGCTTAAAGTTGTCTAGTTGGTTGGTGGTAGAGGTAGGACTAGAATCCAAGTCTTCTGACTTGTGTTCCTTGGCTCAGTTGAAAAATTCTATTTTGTTTTGGCCAAGGGGGCACTGAAGTAGGATTGGTTTTCCAGGTGGGCAGCTGTTTGCTTTCTGGAACCTGTCACTAGAAGGAGACTGAGCATAGCCAAAAGCAATGGTTCCTAAAAGTATTTCTTGAGGTACAGGTCCATGTACCAAGGTGTTGGAAAAGGGGATGTTGTCCAAAAGAACAAGGTATTATATCCTTTTCTGTATCATGGATGGGAAAGGAAGTACTACTGGGGAAACATATCACCCCCTCACTGCTCCATTGGACCACAGGAAAGAGAAAATGTGCCTGACATTTATCTCTTTTATTAGTATAAAAATACATTTTAAATATACTGTGTGTGGTGAACATGATAAATTAATGAGCATATGTACCAGACTGAGGAGAGGAAGTGGTCTTTGTATTATGTATAAAAATCATCATTACTGTCCTCTTTTGCCCTAACATAGCTCTTAAACTATCAGAAAGGAGAATAGTTGCTGTTCTCCTGTGTATAGTTGAACAGCTCTCACAGCACCCTTAGGTCCTTGCGTTTGCGCAGCAGGCTGTGAAACCACTGAGCTAAATCCCCGGCCCTGCTTCTTCATTTTTTAAAAAGCCTTGTCCCCTCCAGAATATTTCCTGACTTGGGAAGTAGAATTGCACCTGTGACAACATCCTTGAGCATCTCCATAGGAAATAGTATTTTTGCTGGGGTGGTGGCGCACGCCTGTAATCCCAATACTCGGGAGGCTGAGGCAAGAGGGTCACTGTGAGTTCCAGGCCAGTTTGGGCTACATAATAATATCAAGTCCAGCCTACATTACACAGTGAGACCCTGCCTCAAAAAAATAAAACAAAAAAAGTATTTTCTATTGGTATGTATGACTAGAATTATTTTTACATGAAACAATTTATGCAAAAGCACTTTGGAAACATTAAGGGATCATACTGTAGGTGTAAGGTATTATTAATCTATATATTGTGTAGCCATGGACTTGGAATGATTTACATTACTTGTATAATTTGTGCTGAGTAAAAGTATGTTGTGGTGGCTCACACCTATAATCTCAGCACAGGGAAGGTCGAGGCAGGAGGATTGAAATGAGTCTGAGGCCGACCTGGGCTACATAGTCCAAGGTCATCCCAGACTACATAGGAAGACTCCATCTCAAAAAAAATAAAATTAAAATTTAAAAAAATCTCCCAATAGCTTTTCTTTTTTTTCACTTAGATACCTGGGATGGAACTGAAAACCTTACGCTTTTGAGGCAGGCGTGGTGCCACTGTGCTAATCCCCAGTCCCCAGTAGCTTTTCTATTCAAGTTTGTTCTTTTCTTCCCCCTCGAAGCTGTTTGTTTGTTTGTTTGTTTGAGACAAGGTCTTGCTATGCAGGTCTGGCTGGCCTGGAACTCACTGTGTAGCCCAGGCTGGGCTTGAACTGACAATCCTCCTGCCTCAGCCTCCCATGTGCTGAGATCACTGGTTTTCGACACCATGCCCAGCCTCCAGCTGTTTAAATCTCCTGGACCATGGGTGTGACTGCTTAGCCAATGGTTTCCCTCTCTTGAGGGCAGTCATGCTTAATAGCGCTGAAACCTGTAGCCCTTGCAGGAGTTGTCTCTTCCTCCCTGTTGGCCTCTGGTCAGATCCAAGTCTCTCTAATCTCACGGCCAAGTGGAGGTAGCTCCCCGACTCACCTTTTCCCTGTTCCTATTAATAGGATTGTGACAGTGCATCCCTTCCTTGGGGATGGAACTTGTCACTAGGAAGGAGGATGCGGTCAGAGTGTAGCCAGCAAGATGGGTTTCTCGGAGGAGCTCCTGAGTGAGACTGAGCAGAGGCAGCAGGGGCTCGGAGCCTTGTGAACAGGGAGCCCGTCCCCCAACACTTGGAAGGTGAGTGTTTTCATTTGGAATATGGCTCCAGGCTTCACCTCTTTTCTCTGCCAGTTAGGGGTCCTTCTGCCCTTGAAAACCTGATTTCTAAATTTCTTTCCTGCAGAAAGCTCTTTGTGATTGACTCACATTCTCTTGTTCTTTTTGCATATGTGTGTCTCATTAATTATTATTAACTTATTGATAATTGCTTAGTTTTATGTCCTTTTTTTTCTGTTTTCTTCTTGAGACAGGGTCTCAAGATACAGTTCAGGCTGGCCTTGAACTCAGTATGCAGTCCAGGCTGGCCTCGAACTTGTGGGAATCCTTCTGCCTCAGCCTCCCAAGTGCTGGGATGACAAATGTGCATCACCAGGCCCAGCTAGTTTTATGTCTTTTTATATTTTTTTATCCTGTATACTCACTGGACTTATGCCTATGCCCTAGTCTGAGGATAAGGATTATGTTTTTCTTCTACATGTCTCTACTGGCAAGGAGTTTATCTATGTGGGAAAAAGGTGAGGTTTGGAATAACTAACCACACAAATAGTTCTGGGTGCTGGTGACTAAGTGGGAGGTCACTGGTGGCCTTTGAAGACTGGCAGACCTACTTCAGGTATTAGATGAGATCTTTTTTTCTTTCTTTTCTTTTTTGAGTAAGGGGTATTAGATTCAGGGTCTTTCCATTAAGCTACATTGCCAGCCCTTTTTAAAATTTTTTGTTTTGAGAGAGGCTCTAAGTCACCCAGATTGGCCTCGAACTTGTAGTCCTCCTGCTTCAGTGCCTCAGAGTGCTGGGATTACAGGTAGGTACCACCATGTCTGGCCTGGATGAGTTCTTGAAGAACTGTATGCCCTCTAGATATTTTATAAATTTATTTATTTTTATTTATTTATTTTGAGACAAGGTCTCGCTGTGTAGTTCAGGCTGGGCTTGAATTTACTATCTAGCCCAGGCTGGCCTTGAACTTGTGGCGATCCTTCTGGCTCAGCTTCCCAAGCACTGGGATTACAGGCGTGCACCACCACACCTGGCTGTTTTGTAAATTTAATCAATTAAAATGCAATAAAGAAGCCTAATTTTAAAATCACTTGTGGTAACTACAGTATGCATTGTGGCATTCTAGAATTAAATAAAACTTTAGAGGTTCTCAGTTCCTAAGAAAGGAGGTGATTTAAGGACTCTGCTGCTAAAATTGAAGAGCTCTTCCTTTTACCTAAAAAATCAAGAGTTGCCTAAAGAGAACAAAGTTGGTTGGTGGTAAAGTCAAGGCTCTGTTTATAATGTAACTATGCCCTAATTTACCTATTTTTCTTTTATCTTCTCAATTATAGAATCATAGCACTTATAGAGCACCTTAGGACTGACAACGTAGGGTGCCTCACGTCATGGACAGTAAGGGAACTGAGACCCAGAGAGGTTAAATAACTTGCCTAAGGTCACACCTTCGGTTAGTGATGAAGCTGGAACTAGGACTCAGATTCAGGTTTCTGACCTTCTTGTGTGTCGAGGGGAGCAAGATCTCTCTGTGTTGCCCAGTCTAATCAGCTCTTGGGCTAAAGTGATCCTCCTGCCTCAGCCTCCTAAAGGCTGGGACTATAGTCATACACTACTATGCCTGGCCAAGTTTAAGGAATTTAATTGATCTTATTTTCTTCTTTTGTGTGTGATGCTAGGATTGAACCCAGAGCCTTGGGCAATGCTAGGCAAGCTCTGTACCACTGAGCTTCATCCCCAACCCTTAATTGGTTTTATTGTCTATTCTATAGTCAATCTATACTTCATTCCATAAAATAGAATAAGTGTTCCAATGGGATGAGCACAAGAGTTGTTTGTTTGCATATGGAAATTGAACTCAGGGCCTTTGCACTGAGCTACATCCCCAACCCTTTAATGAAATTTTGAGACAGGGTCTCACTAAGTCACCAAATTGCCTAGGTGGTCCTTGAACTTGCCATCTTCCTGCCTCAAGCTTCCTGATGCTGGGATCCATGGCCATTTCTTCTTTTTTTTTTAATCTCATTTCTTACCTAGGTTGAAATTCATCGGAGTCATGTGTTTCCTTAGACTGGCTCAGGTTATGAAGCCCTTTGCCTAAGAGTCTGGTTATCTGTAGTAATTGAGGCTAGAGAATCCTCAGCCCTCTGCACCTTTGTTTTTTGTTGTTGTTTTTATTTTTTGTTTAGTTTGTTGAGATAGGGTCTCACTATGTAGTTCAGATTGGCCTTGAATTCACAATGTAGCCCAAACTGACCTTGAACTTGTGGAGGTCTTCCAGCCTCAGCTTCCTGAGTGCTTCGATTATAGGTGTGTGGCACCATACCCAGCCTGTACCTTTATTAACTTCAGATAGAAGGGAGATTACATCACTTACACCTGACTTTTGCTCTTACACTTTTGCCAAGCATCAATGGCAGCATGTCCATTTACCCAAAAATATAAATCGTGGGTTAGAGTAGCTTCTCTAATGGTACTCTGGGTGTGCATGCTCACTTGAATGAATGACCATATCTGTGGATATAGGTTTAAGAAACCCCAAATAGGTGAGGATAACTGTCCTTTAGCAAGTCTCTTTTGACCAGAACAGTAAATTAGAAAGGTATGTGTGTTTTACTTTTCTTGTTGCTGAGAAAATACCCAACACCCAAAGTTAAGTTAGGCAGAAAGGTTTATTTGCTTTATAGTTCATAGAGATTTCAGTCCATAATCAGCTGTCTCCAAGGCAGGGTGGCAGAGGGGCAACAGTTCATGGCAGGCAGACAATAGCAAAGCAGCAAGGGGCCTTAATGATGTCTTTCTGCCCCTTTTATCCCATAGAGACTACTGGGATTAGGGTGGTGCCAAACCAATCACTCACATGTCACTGATTACTGTTTAGTAATTACACACCTGTAATCCTAGCATCACACACTGTAGATTCAGTCACCTTTGAAAAAGCCACCTATGACCACATGAGGCTTTGGGGGCTATCTAGACACAAGCAGTAACAGTGTGGAAAGGGGTTTGATAAAGCGCTTGCATTCTTAGAATAACGCAGGCCAGGAACAGAGAGGAAGACCCTAGTATAACATGGGGGAAGTGACCAACATAGTTACCTGGTTTGATTCTGGCCTGAAACATAGACTTGGATAGTTTGGATTTAGGATGTGATTTTTTAAAAAAATTGTATTTAAAAAAATGCCAGGGATTTAGCTCAGTGGTTTCCCCGCCTGGTATGCAAGCACAAGGACTTGAGTTTGATCCCTGGTACCAAAAAAAAAAAAATTGGATTTAGGATGTGAAAGTCAGGGAGGTCGGGACACCATAGTGCTATTTCTATTCAGCTCCCCAGTTTGAACAAACGCTTCCAAGGCCTTTTTGTATTCTGCACCTAAAACATCTGGGAGACTGTCCTTCCAGTCATTGGCTAGGACTTTGGGACTTTTTCCCCCCAGTACTGGGGATTTACCCAAGGGCTTTGTGCTGAGCTATATTCCCCCCCCACACACCCTCCGCCTTTTTGGGGGAGGGGGTTACCAGTATGGAACTCGGGGCCTTTCGCTTAAGCAGCAGGTGGTAAAACCACTGCGCTAAATCCCCAGCCCCCTCCGCCTTTTTTTTTTTTTGAGACAAGGTCTTGTTCTGCAATTCAAGCTGGCCTTGAACTCACTAGTAGCCCAGGCTGGGCTCGAACTTGTGGCAGTTCTCCTGCCTCAGCCTCCCAAGTGCTGGAATTACAGGGATATGCCATCATGCCCAATATCCTACCATTTTGAATTAGGTATTGCAAACATACTAATAAAAAAATGTTTTTCTTTGTACCGGGTATCAAACTTGGGACCTTGGACTTGAGAAGCAGGCAGCAGAACCACTGAGCTAAATCCCTGGCCCTACTAATAAAATTTTTTTTTTTTTTGGTACTGGGGATCGAACTCTGATCCTTATGCTTTCAAGGCAGGCGGCGGAACCACTGAGCTAAGTCCTCAGCTCTACTAATAAAAATTTTTAAAATGAATTAAAAAAATTTTTTTGAGCCAGGCATGGTGGTACATGGTTGTAATCCCAGCACTCAGAAGGCTGAGGTAGGAAGATTGCCGTGAGTTTGAGGCTGGCCTGGGCTACATAGTGAGATCAAGGCCATCCTGCTCTACAAAGCAAGACCTTGTCTCAAAAAAACCAAAAAAGGGCTGGGGATTTAGCTCAGTGGCTCCGCTGCCTGCCTTGCAAGCTCAAGGACCCGAGTTTGATCCCTGGTACCAAAAAAAAACAAAAAAAAAACCCCAAAATAAAAAAAACCAAAATTTTTTTGAGACAGGGTCTTACTAAATTGCCCATGCTGGGCTCATCCTGCATCAGCCTCCCAGAGTGCTGGGATTACAGGTTGCATAACCATGCCTATCTATCACAGCCTGTGATCCTTGACATGCTGTGGTTTCAGTTTTATTAAGAGTTCTGCCCCAGGGTGGTAAACAGCTGAGTTCTTCTGAAGCATCCCCCTTAGAATAAAGACCTACCCTTGTGCCACCCTCTAGCAAAGTTGGGAGTCTCGGAGATTTGAAGGGAGAGTCTAGTGACCCTGGCTTATCAGATTTAGATTCTGCCTAGGGGCAAGTCAAGGCAGCCTAGTCAGAGAGCTGGCTTCCAAGGCTACATATAATCCTGTCAATATTTGTTTCTCATAGGTAAGGAATAAAGAAGTATTCTAACCAGACTGAAAAATCTAAAGTTACCCTTAATTTTTTTTTTTTTGAGGTGCTAGGGATTGAGCTCAGGGCCTCACACATGCTAGGCAAGCACTAACCACTGAACTATACCCTCAGCCCCTTTACCCTATATTCTTTCTTTCATAAGAAAGGGTGCATAGGCTGGGGATTTAGCTCAGTGGTTTCGCGGCCTGCTGCGCAAGCGCAAGGACCCGATTTCGATCCCCGGTACCAAAAGAAAGGGTACATAAAGGAAGGAGAATAAAGCACAACTTCAGGCATCTAAGAGTGGAACTGAGTTAGATTAATTGATTGGGTTTTTTTGTTTGTTTGTTTTG